CGTACCATTCACACTCAAAAGCCAACACCCCAGCTTCACCCCTTCCCATGGTGAGTCAGCAAACTGAGTTACCCCATCATGGCCAGAAAACTGACTTACCCCTTCTCCTACATCCAGAAATCTGCTGTCAGATTAAAAAAATAAAAATTTAAATTTAAAAATTTTAAAAATAAATGAATAATCAAAAAAATCACCAGTGCAACAATCCAGGGGAAAACATCCAGAGTGGCATTTGGTGTCTTGTCTGGACACCAAAGCAACTTCTTGGATTTCTCAGCTGCCTTGGTTCTTTGGAGGCCTTCCCTATTCTGAGTCTATTTTACCAGCAATGAAAAAGCTGGAATCAGGTCTTTGTTGGCATCAGGTGCTGTGACTTCGTTTAGTTTTTCAAAGATCCATGAAGCACAGCTGCTATTTTAGGGGGATGAGTGTAGGATTACATGCTGAGCACCAAAAATTAGAGCTGTTGTGGTGGTGTTCAGCTTACAATTGTCCTGCTTCTCTTAGTTTCATTCTGAAGTTGGGTAGACACCTTCACACTTTGGTTTTGGTAGCCCAAAATGTACCATGATGCCACATCAACAAAACATTAGGTATCCACTGGTCTGCAAAGATAAATGAGGGCTCAGGTAAATGGCCAGTGGATTTTGTTTAAATCACAATAGAGCACAACTTCCAGTAATGCCATAGCCATAGAGGATTCTGGAAAGCTTTCCTGTTTATTGAGCACTTCTCTTTTGCAGTAAACATAAACAAAGCATGACAATAACATTTTCAACAGGAACTCAGATTCAAAAAGGATGCTCAATGCTGTTCAGGCCGCTCTCAAGGGCCTTTTGCCAAACAAAATCAATGGAAGGGAAAAAAGAAAAAAGAAAAAAAAAAAAAAGAGAATGGAAAATGGGGAAACATTCCAGTATTAAGCTATTTTCCTTCTTAGTGGCCAGATTCTGTGTTTAGATACACGTTATGGAACAGAAGCATTACTGGTTATGAGATGATCACAAGGAGAACTTTATCAATTTATACATCAGCTTTTGGATTTGAAGCCAATTTTCAGCGTGATGGCATCCCTTCTGTGGTTTGTACTGTGTAAAGCAGATCTGTGCATGTTCAAGAAGACTTTCTAAATCTGACAGGATACTAAAACGTATTGTTTTTGCAAGGACACACAACAGCTCCTTAACAAATTTTCTGCACCTTAAGATTCATGAAAATTTAACTTTGCATGGTTAAGCAGCCAAAAATCAAAACCAAACCAAGCCTGAATGAGCACCTCAACTCTGTCCTGATGCTGGTAACCTACAGCCTGTACCTTTGAACTGAATGACGAGTGCATGCAAAATTATGGTCCTTTAGACAACACACAACAAGAAAGGCTGATGTTAGAAACTGCTACCATAAAATATACATGTGCCAGTAGACAGAGTTGAGCTTGGCTGTACCATCTTAGCTTCTATATTTCTTTAAGTTCTAGCCCTTGTGTATCCTCTAATTCACACTTACAGAGCTTATATTTAACATTCTTAATCAGAAAACCATTAAAAAATTATCAGGCATTCAGCTGGCAAAGGACATGTCTATTAATGCTATTCATAAACTGTTCATTCAGTAACCTTGATGTCAACTGGCAAGAGACTGATGAGTTTCTGTTTATGTTGGGACCTAAACATTCACTTTCATACTTGCACACAAATACATGTTCATGGAAAAAAACTGTAGTCATCTTCAGTTCATCCACCCGGACCCCTTGCTATCCCCAGATTATGAAGTCTTTTTATGAGTGGAATTTTCCAATTTATGTAAATCTATAACTCCTAAGTCATCTTAAGAAGCTTAAACCAGTCTAAGGCTTTACATAGCATATACAGTTAAATCGATGTGAAGTCCCTATGGCCTGATTTTTGAAGGTGTTGGGCTTCCACAGATCATGTGGAGTCAACAGAAACCTTCAGATTTCTCTATATGCCTGAAAAAAATGTTCATTGGATTATTAAAATTGCAAAATGTTTAAAAACTTTCATAATTTGGAGGAAATGTGGGAGAGGTGTGTTAAGACATGGGGAAAAAAACGCAGCTCAGGAGGCAGCAGTCATGTAGGACTGACTGACTGGGTTCAGACAGTGTGGTTAAAAACTTTAGGAGACAAAAAATCCTCTGAGCTTCACTGTCTTCAAAGAAAATGAAAATTATCTTGCTCCAACGTTCTTGAAATAAATAAATCGATCTTTCTTCAGAGACCAAGTATGGAGACTGTTAGCCCAGGAAATGTTTTAGAAGTTTGCCCGACAACTATGTGAAGGCAGTGAATGACAGTGGAAGCCGATTCTCAATTTTGGTTTTAGTTAATACTTTCAGGCACCTTTTACATCTCTCTACAAGTGAATTACAAAATATCTTTCTTAATTTGATCTTTTAAACCCTAATGAATAATTTATTAACTGGAAAAACCTATATACAACATTATAACATCGTATTTCAAAGGATACTGTGATGCCATTATATATATTCTCCCTGGGATAAAACCAAAAAGCTTCCAATTTTGCTCAGTGCAATGTTCTGAAGGCTACGTGATTAAAAAATCAAAGTATCTTGGCAAGTTATGATATTCACCAATTTTATTTGAAAGTATTCTAAAAAAAAAAACCAAAATGAAGTCAGCATTGGAGCCTCCTGTTGGCAACAACTGCAATAAATAAAAAAAAGGAGGAAGGGGCATGGAGGCCATCAGCAGTGACACTGACTCTAAGCCCAGGGACAAGGTGGCTGGGTAAGAGATCCAGGGTGAGATTGGGACAGAGCAGCAGGGAAGAGCATCTGGTACGAGGGGAGGGAGGCAAGAGGACCAAAGCTGTAGATGACACAAGGGGCTGGGGGATGGGAGGGATGGAAAGCAGCTGTCACTGTTGAACACTGTTATTTACCTATATTTATCCCAATTCACACATACATGGTATTTATACTGATACTTCATAATTGTCTGCACACATAAATGCAATGCCAAAGATTACCCATACATCAGTCTAAACCCCTCCAGCTCCTACCTGACATTTGTGAGGTCTCTCTGAGGTATGCACCTGTTTGATGTGTCCATTCAAGTGGTCTGGCCTTGAAAGAAAATACACATAAGCACACTTAAAACAAATACTAAAAGTAAACTTACAATTTTAACGAAAAAGTAAGATCCCAGTGGTGGATTATTATAAACGTATTACAAATGTGGTGATACTTAACTCTCCAAGAACCAGATGACCAACAATTGGGACTCTACCTTGACAAATACCCTCTCCAACTTGCTGAAAAGGCAGCATTTTCTCAGGGAGAAATGATGACTGAATGATCAGAGAAAACAGGAAATACAAGCTACTATTTTCAAGCCTGCATGTCCCCTTCCAAAATCCTATTTAGATCTTGACAATCAGGGCACTCTGATTTACAGTTGCTGAGTATTTGAAAATCAAATCCTTTTGGTTTCTGTCCCAAGCACAGATGTACGAAGCCAACTTTAAGCACCTCTATGCAAAAAGGCTGACAGTAAACTGTTGCTGTGACACATTTTCCACAAGCAACATGAAAAACTACTGTCCTAACTTACAACTTGGTGGGGAAACTGCATTAATACAAATAAAGTGCTCTGAAGGTCCCAACTAGAAGGTGCAATGGAAGAGCAAATTATTACTGAAATAAAAAGATAGACCATTCTTCACAATCGGTAAAGCCTACTTTGAAGAAGAGAGGACTGAATAGCTGCAGATTTTCCTGGTGGGAGTTTCTCCTAGTGGGAAGAAAGCTTTTCATTGTATGAGGCCAAAACTGCTTGGAAACAAGTTCTCCACCCTCTCCTTCCCCAACTTCCCAGCTGCGCCAATGGGAGGGCGCGGGACTGGAATTCACACACTGCGGACAAAAAATAGGCTGAACTTTGTAGGGAGGCTGTTAAACCTGATGCTCCAAGCAAGCGGGCTGGAGCCGTGTAACCGGAAAGACTGGTTGGGGTCCTTGTAGGTACCTGAAGCCTAGCAACCTCACGTGCTGCGCCATGGAGCGAAGGAAAGGCCACTAAAATTAGACATCCTACTTCCAACTGCCGCTGGCTGAACACCGAAACTTAAAAGAGACTCTTCTTTTCATTCATACTTGGATGTTAGAAACATAGACATTTTTGTTCCTTTGCTTCCTTTTAGGACAGCGTTCCTGCCTGTTCATATTAACTCACTGGGAAAAATGAGAACTCAACATGTAGCCTCCCCTTTCCCCTGTGGACAAAAACCTCTTCTACAGCAACAGCAGAAATCTTCCAGTGTGAATAAAACCAGTAAAAATTGGCAGATGATCCCAAGTAGCACTATGATAAGAAAAATACTCTCACTACTAGCCATAGGTGAAATTTTCATGTTAGAACTTCCCATCCCTAGATCTGCAGTCCCTGGGCAGATGCATCTCTAATTATTGCTGATTTTAAAAATAAAGAAAAAAGGAGTCTACATTGTCTTAATTTATTTCAGTAACAGCAACTCCTGCTATGAAAAAGAGAGCTAGCAGGGGCATAATTCCTACATTGAGAGCATAGTAGCCTTCCGATTCGTTTTCGGATTCCGATTCCTTCCCTCCTGTTAGAGCAGAAAAGCGGCGGCTGCTACAAAAGCAACACAGTGTACGCATCCCCCTCCCCCCACTGCTTCTACTCTCCAAGCGAGCAGCAAACTTCCAGCGAAGTTTCAAATTCATTAACTCAGACTGTAAGATACCACTAACACGACTACGTGTATCAAACTACTTATTAAATTAACTCCCACAAACAGCGACAACAAAAAAAAATCAGCAACATTAAATGCACAGATCTTACGTATGTTGCAGGGCAGAAACAGGATCCCCTTCAGAAGGATGTAAACCCAAAGGACACAAAGATCATGTAATAAAAGATACTTGATGCTGCAGCCTTTGAAATCTCACCTCTTCCTTCACATTTGGGTGATAAAAAACATTACGAACTAAGAGAAATGAAGGGAAGTTAAGAAAAAGAAAATTTAAAATGGATACGAGAAAAATAATAATCTTGAGATGTATTAATATTTGCACTTCAACAGCACCTTCCAACTACTTACAAATCAGTAGTCTCAAGACACTTATGTGAAGGAGACAATTACTTCAATACCCATTTCACAGAAGAGTCATTCGAGGGAGAGACTAACTGATTTGCCCAAGGACACGCATACACCAAGCCTGGGACAAAGCTGGGAATGTTACCCAGAAGCCACGATGACTCCCAGTTCTATGCCTTAATTACTTGCAAACCCTTTCAAGAGATTGTGGAACAGCATCCCAGCGGAAATGTGGGAAGTCTCATTTCTTGAGACGTTTTAAAGTGGAACAGTCAAAACTATCCTAAGCACAAACTGTTCTTGCTTCCCAAAGAATAAAGAAGACAACTTCCTAAGTCTCTGTTCGTGCGTATGGTCCTCATAAGTACTCTCTTACCTGGAAAAGCCTTTTCCACAGCTCTGGCAGATGTAGGGCTTTCCCACAGAGCCATCATGAGATCGAACATGATAGGACATCCTGTCTTTCCGCTTGAACCGTAAGCCACACACCGGACAAGAGTAAGGCTTCTCGCCAGAGTGAGACAGCTTGTGCCGATTCAGGTGGTACACGTCCCGAAAAATCTTGCCACAGATCTCACAGGCCACCTGTTTCCTCGTCCTGCTTCTTTTTCGGGGAGCATCAGGGTCATCCTGACCAGGGACACCGTTTTCACCCAGTCTTGGGGGCGGGATGTCTATGTAGCCCAGCTGTAAGCTTGTCACCCCATGTTGAGCCTCATGCTGACGAAGACGATTAGCATCTGTAAATACTTTCCCACAGAGACCGCAAGGCAGGATACCAGCCTCTCGCAGCCCCCCTGGGGTACCAAACATCATGGAGTCCAAGAGATTGGCTTTACGGGGACGCCCTCTGCCCCTCTTGGTGCTTAAAGTAGGGGCACTAGCAGCAACATTCTGGAAGGGTGAGGCCAGCAGTGGTGGGGACAGAGGTCCTGCCACCATGGGCAGGCGGTCCACACCCTGCAGAACAGGTAGGGTGGACTGCGCAGCAGTGAGCGCAGCACGCGTGGCCTCGTCTTCGGGCATGCCAGCAATGCCATTGCCATTGGGCGCCAAAGTGGCACCGTTGGTCATGTCAAGAGGGAAGCCAAGGTCAGCAGCCCCTGGACGGAAGAGCATGATGTCGGGGCGTGCAGGGGGCACGAGGAGCTGCACATTGGACTGCTTGATGACCTCCTGGCAGATGTCAATCACAGAG